GAGCCTCGCGGCTCGTTTTTTATAGTTACCGATCGTCGACAACTACAAAAACGAGCCGCAAGGTTCGAACAATCGCGTCTCCTCTACCCAAATCGTCGATTTTCGTGTACAATCCGAGCGTCGATTAGGAAAAATTGTACTTTTGTGCAAGCACGAAAGAAGCCGGCACGTCCGTTGCCATAATTCGCCCACCTATCCATGCTCGCGAGGAGAAATGCGACAGAAAGGCTGCAACAAGCCAATAACTGGCTCCTCGGGCATGTTGAATGCGGTATGGCAACGCAGACTACAATCGGCTATTAAGTGCGCGCGCCGACTTCAATTCATACACGTACCAATACCGGCGTCTCCTGTTCGCTTTATTAAAATCACGGACAGCAGATATAATAGGGAACGAGCCGGCCTGGGGCAAAATGTACGCGGGTTTAATCCGGCGACGCTGTACTTTCGGGGCTATCTTCGATAAACAACCTTGTTTGCCGGCGATCGTTACCTGGATTGCAGTGCAATCACGGTTTCGAGGTGTCGCACGAACGATAACGAGAACTAATCGAGCTCGATCATCGATCTATTGGAAAGATTAACGGACTAGTCATATCGCATGATTCTGCTCGATCGTCCAGATAGTCCACTTGTCGAATGCGATACGGGAAAGTGAATTCTCCCTAATTGACCTTCGACTTGTACACAAATTCGATAATTTGGAAACAGGAGATACGATTATTCGAGCATTGCGACCATAAGAACGAGCCAACAAGTTCGTAGAATAATGTCTACTCTTCCCAAATTGATCATTTTTGTTTACAAACTGAAGGAAAATTGGGGAGAATTTACCGTGTTTCGTTCATTTTAATTCAGCGAATATACACAGCACGGTAAATTCTCTCCAATCGACGCTCAGATTGTGCACAAAAATGGACAATTTTGGAAGGAGAGGTCCGATTATTCGAGAAAATGTTGCAGAAGTTCTTCCACGATGAAACGGCGTTGCCGACAAGATGGCGGGTCATCGACCATCCGCGTACCGCTCGAAAAAGAAGGTTTTTCCAACAACGAGCATTTATGTATTATTCATACGTACGGTCAAAGGTTCGTACGGCACTTCACAATTCGCTATTTGCTCTTGATACTGTAGCTTGATAATATTTATCTTTAATTGCATCTTACGAAACGAATACAGTAATTTCTCTCTAATTCGCGCTCAGCTTGTGCACAAAAGTGGACAATTTGGGAAGAGGAGACAGGATTATTCGAGCTTGCGGCTTGCTTTTATAGTTACCATAGATTATCAATAATTGTAAAAATGAGCCGCGAGACTCGAATAATCTTTTTTTTATTTCCCAAATTGTCTATTTTCGTTTCCAAGCTGAGCGTCGATCGCGGAGAATTTACTGCACCGGCCACCGATTTCGCTTTCCCCGTGCTTTCTCCTTTTCCATTTGCGGCCTTCCAGCCGCCAATCACAACTCGTTGGTCCAATTTGCTAATGCAGAACGTTAATTGTCCAGTTAAAGTAGTTAGTCGAATTAGCGGATCGACGAGCTCTCCGATCGGCAGATCCCGTTTGGACGCGACGCGACGATAAACGCGGTTTTTCATGGGAGCCATGGCGAACTTCTCAATGAAACTCGTTTCGTCCGATTCTCCAAATCATAATTGTCGGGCCGCTGCAACCGGAAGTCTCTGCGATCGATATTGTAATGGTGTCGAGCTTGCCGCGGTCGAAAGAGCAGAAGACTTGCGACAGAATCGTAGCGACAATTTTTGCAAAGCTCTCTAGAAATCGCGCGTTCGCTACTCGCATTTTTCAAGTATTATCCCGACATTCACTTTTATTCTTAGATCTCCATAAAAATAACATTTTGAAAGTTCGAAATTTCGATTTAGACGAAACGAATAACGTTCGTACAGATTTCGCACACCGAATGAATCATCTCGCGGATCGCATTTATCTCGTACACATTGTAAATCAGATGAAACAGTTTGCAAATTTTACTCGTTCTTTTTGCAAACGAATCAACCTTTTTACAGATCAAAAGATTTTCCGTTCAATTTTTGTCGATTCAGTATGAATCTATCTTGTACACTTATTTAGAAAATAATACAAACTTCGCTGAAATTAATTGATCTTCTTTGATTCTCGATGATCATTTATAAAATGCCATCCTATTTTCAAATTTAATACGAATTTGATTCGAAACAATTACAAATAAGTGAAACTTGTGAATTTGCAGAAGGGGTAGTTCTGATTTGCAAAAAGATGAGCGTGTGGTTTACGAACGGATCGCTTTGGGGTATCAAAATGGCGACCACACGATCCATAGAATGATCGATTTCGAGTTCAAAATCGAATCTGACTCGTTACAATGCAAAGGCTTAACCCTTTGCACTCGAAGCCAAATTATCGCAAAATTTAATATAATTTTTGTGGCCCACTGTATTTCCATTTTATATAATTTTGATACGTATGAAATTGAATTTTGTGATTGATGCAACAGTTATCCTTTCAACAGTTCCTCAAATATGAACAAATTTGATGAATAATATTATGTTGAAACGTGACATAACAATTTTTAATGGCGCCTTGGAGTCGCCAAACGAGTGGAAAGGGTTAACTGTTGAATTTTTAATATTTTAAATTACAATACTGTAATTACAAAATTGTGATAATTGTAATCGCGGTAGTACAGTGCCGTAATTACAAGATTACAAGATTACACTTTATGGATTTACTTGCAAAATTGGGTAGCCGCAATTTCAGATAGCAGCCGAATCGAAAAGAATTCGCATAAAAATTCGCATTTCGCGATCTAATTGCATTAGATATCACGTCGATCTTCTCAATTTATTCTGAATCGATCAAGTTCTTCGTCCGAGTCGACGAAATCGCCTCGAGAACTTCGGTTTGCCGAACCAACCACCGTCGTGGTCCAGCCGACATTTTTCGTAGCGGCAACCGCAACGGATTTGATTCGCGAACTATCGTCGCTCGATGCTGCAGAAATTCTAATGCTGCAATCGTCGCGGCGCATAGCGGCGATTGATTAAAGATGGCAGCCGGTTCGGATGCGCCGCGTTCCCCATGTAAATTAATACTTGACGCGACCGATTCGTATTTATAAACCGGGTTCACGATCGGGGATCGATCGAGTTCTTCGATCGCGACGTTACTGGTAGCCGCGAAATGTTACCCCCGCATCCACACGAGTCTCCCTTGTCGCGCGAACCGTCGGGGCGAGTTCTTTCCCTCGCGTACAAAGACAATTGTCGCGAGTTTTCTCTCGTACGAGTGCCGTAAGTGCTCGTTCGTCTTGGCGTAGGCTTGGGTTTTACATTAACATTGGCTCGCGGTGCGGTGGACGTGGCGCGTTTATCCGTGATTGGTTGTGCACGCCTGTGCCCCGATGTTTCGACGTGGCAGCAGGAACGATTACGCTTTCTTCCCCTTCGCGGGATTCTTGGAAATCGTTCGAAGAACAGCCAATCAAGCTCGATCGCGTCTGATTTACGCGAACTTTTCGGCCATTAGGGGTCCCGGTCGCTTCCTGAGCTTTCGTTTCTTTATCGCCGCTCGGCGATAAAACAACGACACGAGCCGGTAAACCGTGCCCAAAACGATAATGAACTAAATAAGCTACGATAATGAGCTTGCATGGGACAGTTTTATGTAAAATAAAAGAATCGTTTGCACAGCTCTCAAAACAGAATAGAATTCTTAACCCCTTGCCGTACCATTTCCTTTACGATTGCAACGATTAGAACATTTTCGAACGCAATGATTTCTTAGAAGAGAAAAGAAAGATTTGTATTTATTGTGTGTTTATTTGTATTGGTCAATATTTGTGTTAATGTTATTTATATTTGATTCCCGACTTAATGGAACGGAACAACTTTCATACCTAACAGTTTATTACTAGAAATCTCTGCCACGAGTCTGACTCGTTCAAGTACGAAAAGGGGTTAATAACGAAAATTTGACTTCCTTTGCAACATGAAATTTCTTAAGAACATGAAAGCGTCGCCGTTCTCGTTATAAACTTTTTTTCAACGTGTTTAAATATTTACAATGTCGCTGAAAAATATGCCTTATGCTTTGATAAAGTTTATGTCCATATATGTATTTATTTATATATTTACAATATAATATATAAAAATATAAATAATGTAAATAGTAAATAAAATAATATAAATAATAAATAAGATAATATAAATATAAATAAAATAATATAAATATAAATAAAATAATATAAATAATAAATAAGATAATATAAATATAAATAAAATAATATAAATATAAATAAAATAATATAAATAATAAATAAGATAATATAAATATAAATAAAATAATATAAATATAAATAAAATAATATAAATAATAAATAAGATAATATAAATATAAATAAATATAAAAATATATATAATATATGAAAATATATTTCTAATATATAATATAATATACAGATATACGTGAATAAAGTCTGCGTAAAAATCACCCTTATAAATTGTAAAAATACGAAACCGAACGAATCGTAAAAATACGAAAACTCAAGATCCCGTTCGAAATGAAATTTCGGAAAATCGGCGAGCGATAGAAACAAGCGACTCTCGAATCTCGGTGAAGCGGCCTTTGGATTCCATTCTGTTAGCGATCGAAATGCAAAGATTGGTGATGGCCACAGTAATTCATTTCCCTTCGGTCAAGAGAGAGAGAGAGAGAGAAAGAGAGAAAGCGAGAGAGAGAGAGAAAGAGAGAGAGAGAGAGACGCTTGTGCATTTGCGTTGGCGCGCGCAAGTACAAGGGAAGCACGAGGGTGTTTGTGAAATGACAAAGCGACATCGCCGACTGTCCGCTCGTCGGCTGGCCAGCCGGTTAACGATAATCCGTTCGACACTTTGTCCTGTCCGATCGTAGATTGTCTGGCGCGGGTGTGTGATCGCACGCACACACGCGCACCCCGGGACACGTACCCCTCCAGTATCTTATAAAAGCGGCCGATGCCCGTGGCACCGGACATCTCGCTGCTAGCAACAGCTACGTGTTAACGTGTTCATTCTCTCTCTGTCTTACTTTCTCTCGTGCAAACACACCGGCTCCAAGATGGTGCAGATCGTCGGAAGATACCAATACGTCTCTAACGAGAACTTCGACGAGTTCGTGAAAATGCTCGGCCACAAGGACCTGGCCGCCCCGTTGCTGTCCTCCAAGCCGATCGTCGAGATCAGCCAGTCCGGGGACCATTGGACCGTCGTCGTCAACTCCGACGAGAAATCCAGCTCCACCACGTTCAAGCTGAACGAGACCTACGACGAGAAGCTGCCTTCCTTCGACCACAAGTTCCCGGTGAGCATCGAAATCTACTTTCAACGCTTTCGCCAGCAATCGCTCGACGATCTCGTCGAATTCACGCCGGATCCACGGGCCGGAATTTATTTCGATCTTGTACCGGTTTTATAAGACGACGAGTGCTCGCGTCGAAGATATACTCGTTCGATCATTTTACCGCGAAAGAATCTTTATTTGTTTATCGACGACTTTGAAATAGAGAACGTGGAAGCGGATAGTTTGGTTCGGTTGGTCGAGCTTTGAAGTATTTTATTTGATCTAATTAAGATTGAGGAGTTTTGAGGATCCTAATGGAATTTAGGATATGTTACGATCTATCGATCGGCGTGTAATTTTGATCTAATCGAGGATTGAGAAGTTTTGTGGATCCTAATGGAATTTAGAATTACGGACGAGATTGTCGCGGAGCAATTTTTTCAGAAAATCTTGCATGGTTGGTTCTCCGATTTTGAAAGAGTTATTAGAAAACTGAGTTATTAGATAAAGTCTTAATTAACCACTGTTCGAACCGCGTCGGTTGTTTGTTAGTTGGCGTAGAGAAAAGTAACTATACTTGTTTCAGGAAACCGAGGTTTGCTCGACAGTGGTGTAAATTACATTCTAGTGTAACTCGATTTCGGAATTATGAGATATGAATCGCATTTAACAGTTCACTCCTTTAAGCGACTAATTTGATTTAAAAGAAAATTATTGTCAGCTTTCTTTCGCATACAAGCAGCGTTGTTGAAACATCTAGCTAAAGTGTTAATATTGCTTTGATATGTTTCATAAATGTAGACAAGACAGCTACGATTATTTATTTTACAGTTATTAAAGTTTTACATAATTAGTATTACTAGATTGCGAATTTTATGTCATTATAATAAAGCTAGATTAGTGAAAGATTTAAGAATATCATTATATCTCTATTAAAATATTATATATATAAAAAATATTATAAAATTATAATATTATAAATATATATATAATATATTATAATATTATAAATATATATATAATATATTATAATATTATAAATATATATATAATATATTATAATATTATAAATATATATATAATATATTATAATATTATAAATATATATATAATATATTATAATATTATAAATATATAATATTATAAAATATTATATATTATAAATATATATATATATATATATATATATATATATATATATATATATATAATATTATAAA